AAGAGTTTAAATATACATATTATTTACCCTTGGATAACTATCTTTCAGGGCTAAAAGAACACATCTCTTTTTGGTTTGTTGCACTAATCAACATAAAGGTTTGTTCCTCGCTTTGATAGGAGTTGTGGGCACATTTGGAAAATATAAAATGAGGTTGAGAGTTAATATAGATATTTGTTTTCATAGAAGTGAATATACTTAGTATGGACATGCATTCACATCCCTTACTTATATTATCATACAGGGGATGTGGCCGTGAGTGTAAACACAAAGCATATGCTTACCGGCAGTGATAAACAAAGTTAATTCAAATAAAAATGGATCCATCATACATGCTTACATATCGCAAGTTGTTTGTAACATCAGCACTTCAGCAGCATCCAACAGCTGTCAATCAAACACATATACACCCCTCCAGCCAGCAGAAAAGAGGAGTATTGTAATAATCGCTGTGATGGAAGGAAGGATAATGTGAAGACTGCACACCACAGGCATTTCTCTTAATGTGGGCACAAAAGATTTGTACAAAGGTGAGATAAGTCCGCTGGCACAGGCCATTTCAAGTATTCACTGGTCTAAAATATGGCACTTAATGTCCCCACAAATCCCCTATGTCAATCCACCGGAACACCCTTGGAATGAACTTGAAAGCAGCAGTGGTACAGAGGAACATCAACCTATAAACCTTAAGCAGTCGTGCAAAAAAGCTAATGTCCGCATGGTCAGCTTTGATTCCGAGAGACTGTAGGTCCGCGTTGGGTCCCTGCTACAAAGTCTGACAGCTCTTTCAATCATGGGCCACCAGTATGAAATAGGGATTTGTAACGTTCTGGTTGCCTAGTGAATATATTGCATACAAAGTTCATTTCTCCAGCATATTGAATGCAATTGCAATGCCTACAGTTGATTTGTATGTATTTGGATTGCAGCTAGGGGGAACATGGGTTAAAATAGAAGTTATTTGAAAGGGAAAAGGAGGTGGGCTGGATGGGAGGTCACTTACATATAGTTTTGTGGCTTGAGTTTTGAAAGATCAATAACATTAACACTAAAAGCCATATTGATGGTCTCCTACAGTTTCTTCTTTGTGTTATTGTGTTCCCTTTCTGAACATTGATCGAGCATGTGTGAGTTCGATTTGATGGCGTCATATATTTGTCCAGCAGGGTTTGTTTTCTTCTCATATGCCTGAGGAAGTATTTCCTTGTGAATATTGCACTCCGCTGGAGACTGACAATGACATATCGAATTGTGACAGCATGTTAACCGGGATGACACTGACAGCGTGAAGACAAGCAGGCTTAGGCAAAGGAGCATGCAACCAGTTATGCAACCATATGAATGCCAACACACTCATACACACACACATATATACACATGCCTGCAGGAACAAAAGGTAATTGTGATTGCTACATAAGAACAAAATGACACTAATTGAGAGACATCATCAGTAATGCAGAATAATAAATATGCTTAATTGACTTGCTTGCATAAGCCTCTTCAAATTACTGTGGGAAAATCTGAGTCTGATAGAAATTAGGTCTGATTCAGCACCCCAGCACATGGCAATCAATAGGAGTGAAAAGTGTACTGTTATTCATATAACTAACCTTGGCTTCACTAACTAAAAACAGTCCTAGGCAATATGTTGTCATCCAAGGACCTCTCTCTTGTTTTAAAAAGACAATATTCGGCAGCTTAATGGTAGGAATATCTCATATCAGCCATTGTATCCGCCCAGACAAATCTCCAGTGTTTATATTATTGTTTTTTCATAAATTGCACTACAGGAATGCCCTGGTGCTTTTGTTTTGTCTCGAGCATAAATGGACTACAACAGTTTTAATGCAACCCTGTGTCGCAGAATGACCGTGAATTCAGTTTGAATCTTTGTTAGGAATTTCACTGAGGACACCAAAAACGAAATAATTTAATAGTTTTGGTCCTTGATTATGATTGTCGGAGCCGCGTTCAACTACTCTACAAACACACAGCTAGGACCACATTGTTTAAGATAAAAATGATTTACCTAATTGAATAAAGTACGGTAACCCATGGACAATATCTCCCATAAAATACAACAGTATTATTAATACAAATTAAACATTTCATTTATATAGCGCTTTTCTGAGTACTCCGAGACACATTACGTACAAGCATACAAACAAATACATAAAGAAATGGAAAGGAATGCAGGCAGGCAGTGATATGCATTATTAAAGGAAAATTTAAACCTGGGTTTAAAGGTAGTAAGTGAAGTAAAAAAATAAACATATGGTGAATTAATATGAGAAGGAGCTAAATGAGCCAGCAGGGATCCCCAGTTTGAGCAGTCAGGTAACCCACTGTGTTCTGTCTTTTTGTTGGAGAAATAACATTACCTGTTGATGGAGCCACACCGGCCTTTTATCTCCACCCAAATGTATAATTTATGCCTGGAGCTAGAATGTTGTATTTGGTGACATCCTGTATATTGCTAAAATAAAATAATGTAATAAAAATTTGCAAATATTTGAGTATGTTCTATAAGGGCCAACAATGAAAGGCAACAACGAAGCAATGTAAGAGCATTATAGATAGATAAAAGGGCATATCAAACCTTACAAAGACACAGGGCCACAGAACCTCAGCACACAGCTCACAATGTTGAACATTTTATTTATCAGCAACAAATATTAGTGCAGCGTTATGGAAAGTATCAAAGTGCTTTGTATTTGCAGCTGAAGCATGCATTAATGACATGTCACTAAAGAGAGTTGCTTCAAAAAGCATTCATCTACAGTGCAGGATAAAACATGTTACTATGGAACAAACAATGTTCCCTTACATTAACAAGCAGAGGAATTTATTCAAAAGGATAAAAAAACAATGGGGTTCATAACTCTTCCTTGAGCAGCTGAAGAGAAAATGTCAAGAAAAAGGATCTTGAATCTGGGCCAAAAGGGTGTTTTATCTGGTCCCCATTATTATTGTATGCATTGGTATGTTTGAGTGCACAAGAAACAGAAAAAGGTGGCGTTAGGGGCCGTATGTTCATTTGTATGTAATCACTGCGTCACCACGAGCAGTCATTCCGGAAACATACAAAAAGTTGAGGTAAAAGAAAAACTTTAAATATCAAAAAGAAAATCATGAAAGTGGAGGTGAACTAAGTGCGAAAAAGACCAAAGCAATAAGGTCCCAGGAGATACAAAGTTAGGGGGTTATTAGCACCTGCACCGTGTCACACAGAAACACTCTGACGTCAGCAGCAACCTGAGCCAACCTTTAGAGTGCTGCAGGCTCTAGGTTTCCATCGGCCTGGGGTCTGTGTGAGCAGGGCACTTCTTTGTTCTTCATATCTCTTTGTTCTTCACATCTCCCTCTCTCCCCTGACTTCTAAAATTAGCTCACTATTCATTGTTTCCGTGTCGTCTTTGTATCCATGATGTGATTTGTGGAGTTTGTATTGCTGATTTTCAAGTTTACCCAGCCTGTTATGGTGCTAATGCTGATGTTACGCACGTTTGATAGCAGCTTAAGTGTGAATCACTCACGACAAATGTGTGAATACAAGCAGCAGTTGTTGATGTGACCATTACAGATATTGACTCTAGGCCTCAGTTGGCTAATTATTATCCGTTTGGCATGTATTGACTGCTTTCGACAGTTATCAATAGCTGGGCCGAGGTTAATAGTCTATTAGCTTGAATTACCCTGAAAAGTATATGCAATCCGACACACCACTTATGTCTGAGAGTGAGCTCATGTTCTGTTAAAAAAAATCAGCTTAGAAAAGGACTGCTAGCTAGCTTAAGTTTCACTAATATTAGACCATAACATTAGTAAGGCAAAATGTAATGAACTCCAAAAGTCTTTATTTTAAAATACAACAAGGCTACAGGAAATTATAGAACACCCATATAGTACAACGCAATTGTGTTTTACCCTTTTTTAACACAGGGTATAACGATCCATCAATCAGGATCGCATATCAATTTCATGATGAATGACCCATGATATGGATGGGAAATAATAACATAGATACATAACGCTGTTAGTGAGCAGTGCTAGCAGCTTGAATGTGCCTGTTGTGTGGTCTATAGAGAGGCTGAGAGTGTATGGTGGTGATTTAATGCTACAACTCCTCCAGACCCAGGACAAGCTTCCATGTTCTGCTTGTCCCCTGCGTATTACAGCTAAAGGGTGTTAGCGTGAAAGTTAGCAATAACAACAGCCCAAGCTCACTTAATGTGGGCGGGCTTTTAAGGTGACCAGCTTTGATCGTTTGAGTGGAAAGACATCCTCAGCTTTGACCTGCCACCAGACCTTCAACAGCAGCTCCTTCTATTCTTTAATTCTTAGTTTTTTTTTTTTTTCTGTGTTTTGTGAGTGAATATCATTGTTACTGACTGTGTGAAATTACCATATGATATTGTCTAATATTGATCGCAGATCTTCAATTGAATCCAATTAAATTGTATTCTGGAAGGTTTGCTTTGATATCAGAAAATATCGTGATTCTCGCTCCTACCCTGGGGTTTCTTTCTTCCTAGAGTAGGACACATTCTTGTCCCTAATGAAACAATTACCGTAATTTTCGGACTATAAGCCGCGCCTTTTTTCCCATTTTTCGACGCTGCGGCTTATATAACGGTGCGGCTAATCTATGGATTTTTACAGCTAACGGCCACTAGGGGACCTCCTAAATCTATGGATTT